TAGGCAAAAAATATAAAAAATATATTTTAATTATATTTTTACTATATATTAATTATATTGTAAATATATTTAAAAAATTGAAATTTTCTGCAAAGTAGGTAATATAGAAAAGTTACATATATAATTAATTGTATTCTTTTCTATAGTAGTTTATTAAATCACATTATCAATAAGTTATTAATAAAAATCAAAAGACCAAAGAGATCATCTTAATACCAAATAAAATTTTTTTTTTTAATATTAAAAGCAAATATTGCAACTTAGACTTTTATTAATAGTATATTTTAACTTTATAATTGCATTATAACAGTTATAAAGAGTAATCAAATTAGATATTTTGTAAAACCTATTTAATTCCAAACTAATATATAAATTTAAATAATAACATTATATTATTTAGTTATATAAAAACTAATAATTTTACAAAATCTTATATAACTAAAAATAAAAAAAAAATTTAATAATTCAAAATTTTATTATAAAAACTATTTTTTAATTTTTAAGTTAAAAAAGTGTAGTGACTTAATAAAGTGGATAAATTGTTAACCTTCAAGTAATAGATTATAAGTTTAAAACTTATTAACAATAAAAATTTGAATAATCATCTATGTAATACATAGACAGTATTACAATGATAACATTTTGTCAATTAATTAAGATAAGATACCTGTAACTATAGTTGTATTAGCATAACTAAGACATTTGTATAACTAGTTATACAGAGAAATGCAAACCAATAATAGACAATACAAACTTAAAATAAATTCTTATAACTATGTAAATCTGTAGAACTAGAAAGCCAGAACCCATTTGAAAAGATCTAAGTAGAAAAGTAATACAAATTTTTAATAGTACTATTATAAAGGCTAGATCTAGAAAATAGATACTAATGTAAAGGAATTAAGCAGATATGAATTTTAAGTAAGAGATACTATTAACTAGACTGCTAAAAGTCTTAAATTGAAAAAAAAAGATATTAGATATTATAACCTTGATATATCAGAGACAGGTCATAGTCATTCTAAACTATTTGAATTAAGAATCTAATAACAAAAACAGAAGTATATTATAAGTACTAAAAATATGCTACAAAATAGGTACTGAGGCTAGGTAAACTTTGTAAGAATAAGTCTTGTTAATAAGGACTAAATATAAGTAGTTAATTAGTAAAAAGGCTTCTGAAGCCCTACAATTAGATGATATATTCTAAAATTTATAACAGCTTGACAGATATACAGACAAAAAGACCAGGATTAAGTTAGATAATACTTAAATATACAATAACTTATATGTTATTTGTTAAGTGTAATATAGAAATCAGAATATTTAATTAGATAACTTTCTAGTAAATTACAGGTATAACAACAAGTATAGAACTTGTAGACAAACTACTTAAATAGATAACCAAAAGTTGTATGTGTAACTAGTTGCATACTCATCTGTACAAATTATATAATTATAATTAAATTATAATAAAGGCAATAACTAATGATCTTAGTGAAAGCAAAAAAAAAAAATTTATAAGTTAAAATTTTTAGTACAAAATTTTATATATATTTAAATTTTTTTATTCTAATTCAAAACTAACTCTAACTTCTAACTTTAAATTATTATTTTTAATAAAAATTTTTATAATATAAAAACAATACTTTAAACTTTAAATATCTTAACAACTATCTAATCAAATTAAATAAAAATTTTTTTATTTTAATTTTATAAAATTCTAAAAAACAATTATTAAATTTGATTAGATAATTGTTAAAACATTTTAATTTAAAAATTAAAAAAAATTTTACTAAAAATGATTTGTCTTTTTTCTATTAACTTACTTCCATATAAGATGATATCACCTAAAGTAAAAATTAGTTATAATCAATTTATTAAAACCGTTAAAATAACAAAAAAATTTATTTATTCTTTAAATAATTTAAAATTAAAAAAAAATTAAAAAAAATTAAAAGTTGAAAAATAGCAAATTAAAAAATCAAAAATAAAGCAAAAAAACCAATTGGCTAATCAAATAGGGTTGGGATGCACAACTACACGAAAACATTTTTCAAAAATAAATGAATACAGTACAATACAGTTTTTTATATTGTTTCTAACTACAATATAAAGTTTAAACCTTCGTTTCTTTTAACGATATTCGCGACTATGGGAATTATTGACGGACCTCGTCCTTTAGAAGAACTTTTCACTAAAAATAATGAATATTCTACAGAGTCTTCAAGACTTCAGGTGCTTACAATTGCTATAATAAATCTTAAAAAATAATTGCGTATTGATATTCTTCTCTTTTGATCATAGGCCAAAACAGAGAAATCAGTATATGATTTGTTTAAGCCAGTAAAAGATGAAAATTCACTAAACACGTAAGTTGTATAATAAGAAAGCTGTTTTTATAAATAAGTACTTACAAACTTAGGAAACTTGCGTTTCTGTTAAAGGATAAGGCTTAATAGAATCTCACACATTAAATACGCTACGGATGGTCTTAAAGGTTTACATAAACATTGGGTAGTATTAGATGCTAACAAACCTTGGCTGTGCTATTGGATGCTTCACGTTCTCGATTTGCTTGGCCATGATCTTACCCAAGAGCTCATAGACAGGTTACCGGATTAATATACTTTTATGAATTAAATTTATGTTGATCTAATTTACTGTGTAAATTTTAGAGGTGTATCAACTATCTCTAAGTTACAAAATATTACTGGAGGATTTGGTGGTGGTCCAGGTCAGATATCTCATGCTGCTGTAACTTATGCTGCGGTAAATACTATAGCAATTTTAGGAACTAAAGAGGCATACGATTCAATTGATAGGTATTATTATTCTTACACGTTGCTAATGTCAACCAACAATTATTTATTTCTTATATATCAAACCTTTAGAGAAAATCTTTATAAATGGTTCATGAAATTAAAACAGCCAGATGGTTCGTTTATAATGCATGAAGGTGGAGAAGTTGATATCCGGTAAAGTATTAACAATTAACAAATAGCACTTTATAAGCACAATGATTAATACAATTTTTACACAACAGCGGAGCATACTGTATCCTTGCTACGGCTACGTTAACTAACTTGATCACACCAGAACTAATTGCAAATACTGCTGATTGGATAAAGCGGTATATATTTGACTTATATTAAACTCTTGGATTTATTTCTTTGAACAAAGTTTAAAATAACTATTCAAATTAGATGCCAGACTCATGATGGAGGAATTGGTGGTGAACCAGGTCTTGAAGCGCACGGCGGGTACGCATTCTGCGGCCTTGCTGCGATGGAAATACTTGGTAAAGCTGATTTGTTAGACATCCCATCACTTTTTGTAGGTGACTTACAACTAGGGATGTTAGATTGTTTTGATCCGATCATAGGACCAAAGATTGATGATCTGAAACGTAACTTCGCAGTATATAATACTTAAGTACACATAACTTCGAATGATTCAGATCGGTCTGTGGATCAGATCAAAGGAACAATTTAATATCTCAACTCGCAACATGTATATGTTATATTTGATGATAAAATCATGAATTTACCAATATTGGTTCATTATTTAGCGTTGGGCTTCTTCCCTTCAAATGCAACTCGAGGGAGGCTTCCAAGGTCGGCCAAATAAATTAGTAGATGGATGTTATTCGTTTTGGGTTGGTGCATTGTTTCCTGTTTTGGAAGCTATTATGACACGTCAGCAAGTAGAAAAAAATTATACAAATCGCAAAGAGCTTAATGAATATATTTGTATGTATCGATTATGTATTAATTAAAATAATTACACTTTTATAAACAACTAATATGTTTTTTTACAATATTCAGCTCAACCTTTATTTGATAGAGGTATTTGTCTTATTTTTTGCCAACTAAACGAATATGTACTAAAACATTTAAAAAAATTACAGAAGCACTTCAAGAGTATCTTTTGATAGCTTGTCAACACCCAAAAGGTGGGTTAATTGATAAGCCAAAACGAAGCCCGGACTATTATCACACTTGCTATTGTTTAAGTGGTCTATCGACTTCACAACATCATGTAATTTATGACATTGAAAAAGCTGTATCTTCAGGCGTAGAACAGGGTGAGCTTAATGCTGGAGATAGATCTCTGCTGTGGTTTGAAGATGGGACAAAGATTCTAATCCTTGGTGATCCCAGTAACATTGTGGTATGTTGAAATATGTATCTTCTTCAATTTTATAAATTTTGATTTACGGTCATTAAAGTGATAAACGCTTCTCATACTTTCTAGAATGTTACGCATCCTATTCATAACGTAACTATGCCAAAAGCTAAAAAAATTATTGAATATTTTCGCGAAAAGCCTTGTGATTTTTAGGTGACCTAAACGGCAATCTTTCGTCAAGTTATTTATATTATTAGATGTCTATAGCGGTTTTCCTGATAAATTTTGGATTTTTGCATTATGTGAGTCATATATTAAGTAAATGGACTTGATTAAGCAGGCAATGCAAAAATTAAGAATAATTACACAATTTATTTTTTAATTTAACTTTATATACAATATATACTCTTTGTCTGATATGTAATGGAGGTACTTATTCTTTGTGTGAAATGATATAAGGATTACGTTTTTTGATTGGGGTGAGCAATGTCAAATAACTTACATAATATATTAAACTGTAATAAAAAAGTTTTTAACCTATAATTACATGAATTTGTGCCTGGTTTTAGCAAACCAGATGTGGTAAATTTACATTACTGTTAACTAATATTTGTTATTATTGGAATATATAAACTGCAAAGCAGTGTTTGAATTAATGTTTCATAATTTTTATGAGAACACTGTCATTAATTGTGCACAATATAATTTTTTTTACTGCTTACGATTAAAATTTATTTGTAAACAGTAAAATATATAATAAATGTTCTTATCTATAATTTATATTTTTTTATATAGGTTGATTAGTTTTTTTATTTATTTTTGTGTAAACATAAAACGCTTTTGAGAACATTTATATCTTTTATTCTATGCTTATAAATATGTATTTAAAATTTCGAACATTGAATTTAAAGTTAAAATATTTATACTTAATATTAGTAGTTATTAGGCCAATTTTAATAAATTTTTTTTTAGTTAATTTTATTTATAAAATAAGTTTAATTAAACTATGACAATTATCTTTTATTGGCTAATAAGTTTAGATAAAACTAGAATGTAGATACTAAATCAACATGAGATTTTTGTAAATCGCATGCCTATCCTTAAACTATATAGCATACAAATTTGTATACTAAAATCTTTTATAACCTATTTTCGAATAATTGTGCAAGATTTTATTATGCTTTCATTTTCTTATTTATAAACTTGAATTGAAGCATATTACATATTGATCATATTGTAGTTTATAGTATTTTTTATTTTCATTGTTGCTATGTTATGCTAATCCAAAATTGTATTTGGGTAACTTGATAATCATTTATTATCTCTTTAAATGATTTTTAAAATTTAAATAATATAATCATTATAAATTAAGCAAAAATTTTTTTTTTTAAAGGTGATCTTTTTGATCTTTTGACTTTTATTAATGATTTTTTTGGTAATATAATTCTATAAACTATTACAGAAAAAGTGTACAATTGGTTATATATATAATTTTTTTATATTATTTATTTAAGAAATTCATTTAAATGTTTTCTACTAATTATTATACTTAATATTCTTGTTAGAGTGTTATATTTTAAAGTTTCTAAACTTACAATCTGTGTTAATATTACTAGGTTATATTCAGGTTATTGTTTTAATTTTAAAATTATTTTATTTTTAAGGTAAACTTTTTGGAATCTTTTATATCTATTTTTACAACTGACTTTATATCTTATAATAGAATCAATACTTATAATTAGGATTAGTTATTAAATTATTATATTTTTATAAAATTTATTCAAACTTTAGTATCTATTTTACATTATATTCTTAGTATTTTAGTTTATCTTTGTTTGTTCTCTGAACTTTCAATTCAAATAGTCTGATAGAACTATAATTAGTTTATTAGTATATAGATCAGTTTAATATCTTTTTTCTTTAATCTATTTTGGTAATCTGGTTGGTAGTATCTTTTATTTAGAGATTTTTGTCTATTTGAGTATTTTAACATTGACATCTGTTTCTAGTAGTCTAGCTTTATAGTAATATTATTAAAGATTTGTACTATTTTTTTATTTGAATTTTTTTAAATAAACTTCTTGTTTTCTAATTTTAATAAATTTACATAATTACAAAAACTTATTTAAAGTTTGTACTGTCTAATGCTAGTTTAAATTCTTTTGTATAAATAATTATACAGATGTTTTATAATCTGCTAGTTATAATAATATAACTATTATTATAGGTATCTTAATCTAATTATTAGAAACAGTTACTATAATATGAGTATTATATAGATAATTATTCAAATTTTTATTATCAATAAGATTTGAACATCTAACCTACTACTTAAAGAGATAACAACTTATTCATTTCATTAAGTTGTCATATCTTTTAAGTAGAATTTTTTATATTAAGTAAAAACAAAAAAACTTACTAAATAATAAATAAATATAAAAACTCTTTTCTGTAAATTATTTTTATAGTAAACAAATATCAAATTGCAACTAGACATATTTAGAATATTATAACTAAATAATTAAGAATAACTTGCAACAATAACAACAGACAAAACTACTAAAGATTAAACAAAACAGAGAAACCACCTTCTGCACTTCTGTTCTTTTTATAACTTTGTTGCTAACTATGTTAGCAACTAAAGTAAACAATAATAACAATAAAAAAAATAATAACAAAACACACATGACTGAAACTCAAAAGAAAAAACACAACCTGCTTATATATATATTGATAATAGTGACACAATAAGTAAACAAAGTAAACAAAAAAAAAAAAAAACTAATTATAATACTACTATTTAAGTTTAAACAATAATAGAAAAAACACAATAGAAGAAAATTCCAAGAAAAAGGAAATTTTAGTTCAATCCTAAATTTTTAAAACATAATATCATTAGTAGAGATAAAAACAACAACAAATTCAATTCTGGACTTACATTAACCAATAGAAAAAAATATTTTTATAGATTTATAAAATAGCCAGAGCCTGATCTAAGTCTCTATTACAACTAATACAATTTTTTCTACATAAGAACAAAATGTAAATATAAACAAACTAATTCAACCAAAACTAGCCTCTAGACCAAGTACATATACAGATGATAATATAAACAAACAAACACCAGATATAAAAGTAGACCAAGACACAACAAACTTAGATGATAAAAAGAATAAACACATTTGACAGATATAATATTAGAAGAACAAATACAAAAAAAGATATTATATAGCTAGGCAGTTACTAAAAACCTTCTAAAAAGAAACAAAAAAGCTTTAAACAGCTTCAATAATAACAAAAAAAAAGAATAGTATAAGCATGCATAGTTAGCTTTAAAAGAAATTAGACAAGATAGACTAAAGCTTTTTGACATAACAATCTGAACTTGGTTAAAAATCAAAGAGTCATTAACCTTCTATGATAACATCAAAAAATTAATTAGATACAAACTTTTTATGAAACCAATTACAAATTATATTTTAAAAGCAATTGCAACAAAATTGTTTTATAAAAATACTGCATTTTTTAAAAGCTTTATATGAATCATTGCAATCAGACCACAGCATTAAACAGAATTTAATAATTTGTTTACAGAGGCTCTAGACATTTATAAAAAACAACACAATATACTAGCAACAAACAAAAAAATTAGAACTAAATCTTTGAACTATTATAAATTAAACTAGTAACAGAATATTTGACTAATTCAGATTTTAACTCAATAGATGTATGGAAGATTACAAATATATTTTCTACTTAACAGGATTTACAAAAATCTCATAGCAACTAAATTTTGAAACAACCAGAAAGATGGTTTCAAGTCTTATTAATAAGACACTAATATTATTATCTTTGAAACCTACTTTAATTCCTAGTTATTTAATAAAAGTCATCTCTTTCAGTCTATTTATCTCAAATCATCAAATTATTATACCTGTAGTCAAGACTTTAAGTTTAATGTTTTTATTTGATAAAATATCTGAAACATACATCTCAGATAATTATAAACCTCTACTAGACTTATATAAACTTTTAAATGATGAAGTATGCAACATATTTTCTATTATAAGCAGAATGAATTTGCAAAATTTAGCTTAATACAAAGAAACCTTATAGAAGTTTTATATTTTTTAACAAATTTCTTCTAGCTACTTTGAGCTACTAGCACCAAAGAGCCTACTACCTTCTACTTTACAAGACTTAACTCTCAGACCAAAAGAAAAATTTTTTTCTTATCTAAAAACTAAGAAGACTTTAAAGAACATATTAGACTTTTGTGAATGGTTTACTTATTTACAAGACTACCAAATAACTATATTATCTCATATATATAACTGCCTCAAAATCCTGTAGACTTAAGAATATTAGACCTTACTTTTCTTTACAAACTGCAAAAGAAGTCAACCTATTTATTAAAAAGATTCCACTCATATACAACATTTCAACACTATTACTAAAAACATACTGTAATTTCAATTATACAAAACTTTCAGACTTATTAGAAGATGCCAAACTAGTTATAACAGTAAACTTAACCTTACTAATCTTAACTCCTAAAGAGCTAAGCATTGCAGCCAAAGCACTACACAAACACTACTATTTTCATACAATACCTTAATCTTGAATGAACATCCAAAAAAAAACAACCTAAACCTAGCAATAGTTCAGATAACTATCTTCTACAATTGAAAAACTGCAACTTGTATTAGCTGAAAAAAAAACTGACAATATAAATATGCTTATTAAGAAACATCACAATATTCTCTTGGTTTTGGAAACTCTTTAACAAAAATTTTCTTATTATACAGTATCAGAATATATATTTGATCTTATAGATCTACCTGAACTATCTTTTAACATCTTTGAAAACAAAGAGACAACTAACACAATACCAAAAACACAAACATCTGCAATAGAGAAAGACCTTATGACAGAAGACTTATGAGCATACATTCTAATGCAAATATTCTACAATTTGTAAAAAATGTGAACAAGTCAAATCTCTATGAATTTAATATAAATGAAAAAATTAACATTATTACTTACAATATTAGAGGCATTAATAATATACTAAAAATGCAAACCTGGATCAAATGAAACTAAGCTAAAAGACTTGATGATGAAGTCATTAACTAATTCTTTATATAAAATTTTTATCTTAAACTTTGTATTATACAAACCAAATCAATGTGAAGCCAGCTTAAGAACTGCCT